TATTATATAGATTTGTATAGATATAAGGGAAAATTTTATTCAGATCCCCTGTAGTTAGGTCTAAATTAAATGACACCTCCTTCCGATTTTAAAATTTCACTGTCACTCCTCGTTAGAGATTGTCAAGTTACACCGTTAATGACAATAGTTGATTTATAGAAATATCCCCGAGTATTTTATAGGGTAAATTTTATCCACACCTTTTATAAATAAACCTAACTTTAACAACCCCCCTGTAAATAAACCTAACTTTAACAACACCCTTTCTTGATTTTGAAATTTCAATACACTCTCTTTTAGTTTTATTATATTAGCCTTTATTTTGATCAATTTAATATTCAATTATATCAAATTAATTTTTTTTATTTAATTTAAACTAAATTAACATGTCATCTCATCAAATCAACAAAAAATTGATATTTAATTTTATCAAATTAGCATTTAGTTATATTAATTTAATATTAAGTTATTTTTTATTTTTATCAAATCAACATCAAATTGAAATTCAATTTTACTAAATTAAACTATTTAATTTATTAAATTCCATTAATTTAAAATTTAACCTTATCAAATTAATGTCATTTCTTTAATTTAACACCAAATGAACATTTAGTTTTATTAAAACAACATTCAATTTATTTAATTAACATTAAATTCAATCAAATTAATATTTAATTTTTTCAAATTAAAAATAAATTAATATTTAAATTTATCAAAATTAAGATCAAATTTATTCAATTAATAATAAATTTTATCAAATAATTTTAAATTTTATATATGAAGTATGATGTGTGTGGATCGGTCGAGCGCTGTTGTGGAGGACAAATGATAGCAGAGGAATTAGAAATTGATGAGATTTTGACATTGACTTTATCAATTGTAATTTTTATTATAAAAAAATCATGTTTAACTATAAAAATTATTATGATAAAAAAATATAAAAACTTGATTATGTAACCAAATGAGTGATAATATGATGACTAATATTATAACAAAGTTATAATACGACATTTTAAAATAAAAAACTCACTAGGATAATATAATAAATGAAATTACGTTTGTTGGGCAGCTAGGGCAAATATAATAGGGAAACAATTAATGACATTTTAGTCTATTTATATAATAAAGAATAATTTTAGTATTTTCATAAAATATTTAGTTAAATCATTATTTTATCTACTGACATAGACAAACGTTATTATTATAGGGGTTGTCATTGAATTTAGATTCAACTACATGATGTTTAGATGAAACTTTTCCTAATATATAATATGTAGATATAGTATATCTTTGATCTTTATACTATCTATATATGTACAATAAATATGTGTGTGTAATATGAACATAAAGATGAAGAGTAGCTGCATTATGATAGAATTTTGGGAGACATGTGTCTCAATTTGAAAAGAGAATCATGAAAGATGAGAGTGCGAGGGACAGTCAATGTCTCAGTATAGAAAATGATCGCTTAACATAAGAAATAATGATAAGAGATGTAATCTGTATTTTAGAGAGAGAGAGGGACACAAAGTTGAGGAATGAGAGATCGCTTAATAGTCGGATTTGATTGAGTTGGAGAATTAAATTTAGGGATGTTAATATTGGAAACTAAAAGTTTTGAGCGGCAAAAAATTTTCAAGAACTAATATAGTACATCGGATCAAAACGATCTGAGACGTCAATAATTTGAGACAATTTGAAATATAGTCGATCGTTGGATGATGCTTTTTTGATCTCGAAACGATCTGAACCTTTTTGTGTCTCTTGAATTCAAAATCGTTCTATTTTATTAAATAAATATTTATACAATAAAATATAACGATTTTTTATTTTGGAGACAAAGAGCGGCTCAAATCGTTTCGTAACTAGAAAAGTCATTATCCAATAGACTGTGTTATCTCAAACTGTCTCAAACTATTGATGTCTCAAATCGTTTTACTCCGACGTAGCACATTAACTCTTTTGAAATATTTCTGCTACTCAAAATTTATAATTTCCAAAATTGATATTCCAAAATTTAATTTTCTCAAATCTTTTCCTTAGATCAAGCAAATCTCTCTCTCTCTCTCTCTCTCTCTCTCTCTCTCTCTCATTCCTCTGTATCTTTCTCTCATGCTCAATTCACAAAAGTATCAATTTTTCACAATTGTTTTCTTTGTATCTGTCTTTATATCTCACAAAAATATGACAAAAATATTAGAGTGTCTAATTCAAGCAAATATTATATCTCTCTATAGATAGATAGCATACATCACAGAGAGAGATAGTACATTACGAAAATATTCTTTTGTATCTCTCTCTTAAGGAAAATTATGTAATAAATATTAGATAGATAGTATATGTCACAAAAAATATTCTTTTATATCTCTCTCTTTCATTCAAACAATACTATAAATACGAATTATACAAATTCAATAGTCATTTTTTTTTCCATAATCAATAAAAAAAATATAACATTCAAAAAATCTAATTTAACTAAGAAAATATGCTTAACATGTAAAATATACAAGATTAAATTCAAGTTATTGGACAACTCAGATATCAAGAGATCTATTAAAAAAATATGTGTAACATTTAAAATATAAAAGATTAAATTCATATACAAAAACGAATTATACAAATTCAATATTTAGTGAGCAATACAAAGTAACAATATTTACTAAATAATCTAAATCTAAATACCCGAGAAAAATGATTCAAAATTACAAGTAGAGAAACGATACAAAATTATAAGCAAAACTATGAACAAGAATCATATAAATTCAATATTTAGTAAACAACATGAAATAACAATCTTTACTAAATAATCTAATACTAAACAATGTTTAGTTTAAGAAAATATACTAAAAATATAAATAACCGACAAGAATGATATAAAATTAAAAGCACTACTATAAACTCAAATCATACAAATTCAATAGTCAATTTTATTTTTTCCATAATTAATAAAAAAAAAGCATAAATTACAAAAATTTAATTTAACAAAAAAAATATGATTAACATGTAAAATATACGATATTAATTTCAAGTTATTGGACAACTCAGATATTAAGAAATATATTAAATAAAGTATGGTTAACATTTAAAATATACAAGATTAAATTCAAATACAAACACGAATTATACAAATTCAACATTTTGTGAACAATACAAAGTAACAATATTTACTAAATAATTTAAATCTAAATATCCGAGAAAAATGATACAAAATTACAAGCGAGAGAAACGATATAAAATTATAAACAATACTATGAACATGAATTTTACAAATTTAATATTTAGTGAACAACACAAAGCAACAATCTTTACTAAATAATCAAATACTAAATAACGTTTAGTTTAAGAAAATATACTAAAAATATAAATAATCGAGAAAAATGATATAAAATTAAAAACACTATTATAAATTCGAATCATACAAATTCAACAGTCAAGTTGTATCTTTTGAAAGTCGGTTGAATTTTTTATAATTATATTTAATCATTAGACAACATTTGTAGACTTAGTTTATTTGTGAGAGTATTGTTTTAATTTTCATTCTTTTAGTTATGAATTATGTTATTATTTAGATGAAGCTGATTATGAATGTTAAAATCGTGGATTTTGAATAAAAAACAGAACATTGAATATTGTCAACTGATATAATTTTTTAGATGTTTGAATTATTATGTTTAAGTAGTTATAACATAATTTTCGTGGTGTAACAATTAACATAATTTTGTATGTAGGTTAATGTTATAAAAAATATTAGCGGACTCATTGTATTAGTTATTTACTACAATGTTGTATTTTACTTTACATTTATGTATGAGCAAATATTTGTAACTAATTTATGAGTAACACAGTGTCTTTAAGTACGAGCAATTGCTTGTATATCTATATTAGAGGCAATCAATTAAAAAATTGAACGGAGATTTTTGACAAATTTAGACAAATGATTGACAAATTTTGTAGGACAAAACCACGTCTCTCTTCCTCTCCTCCCACCTTATCTTACCCCCCACGCCCTCAAAAAAAAAAAAGGCAAAATTGAAAGATCGGGGGGGAATATGACAATCAGCATCCGAATGGAGGTGTATTCAGACGCATATGAATGACACAAAGCACCTTCCCCAGAGAAGACAAAATGCTCTTGAAACCCCACTGACATGCGTTCTTTGTGAGATGCCTATAATTGGGTTGGTGGGTCCTTTCCTTTGATCAACAATAGGCTTTAGATTCTCCATCAATACTGCTAATCAGCTTACTTAAATACTGCTAATCAGCTTACTTAAATACTGCTAATCAGCTTACTTAATTCGAATCCAAAATTCATTATTTTATATTTCATGGATTTAAATTTATAATTATCAATATCTGATTGGATTTGGAAATAAATTTTATATGAATATGTTATGTAACTTAGTGATTTTTTTGGGACCATTTTAGTGATTATTTGATAAAATTGTATTGAATATGTTAAAATCAACTTTAATTTAGTTATTAGGATCGGATACCCGATTTTTACGAATTCAGATATGGATCATAAAAACAAAATCGAATTCAAATTCATATCAATGTAAATCTAATAAATAAACCATTCCGTTTTGTAAGGCTTTTGAATATCTGTATGTATTAGTATGCACTATACAGCCTCCCCATTGACTGCTGAAAAACAATGGGCTGTGCCTGTCAGATAGGACTGCCTCCAAGCCACATAGGAAGTCTTTAGGCAATACTGATCTATGTGACACGACTTGACAAGTCAGTTGAACTTAAGACCATTTGACAAGTCAGCTAACATTAATAATATAATTACCTTCAGCAAAAAAAAAAAAACACTATTAATTTACTACAAGGAAAAATTATGCAGAACAAAGATTATTTGGATGCCCACATTAATTCGGAATTGCAAGTTCACCTACCAACTTTACTGTCCCTATCAAGGTTTCTACTAATCCTTGCCATGACTTCAGATTTCACTCGTTGGTCCTCCAGCACCGCATATTCTCACTTGCCTTTTAAGAACCATTGGACTTAGGTAATGAAGTTACTCCAAACACATTCATGGTGGACTTTTCTAATGAAGCTTCTCCAAGCACATCCATAGTGGACTTCGTTAATGAAGCTTCTCCTAGCACATCCATGGTCTTTCCCCTACCTCCCATATGTTTGGCTCGGATACTTATCGATCTAGCCACATTTTTCCCTGATTTTTGCACAAGTTTCTGCCTCTTTTTGATGATCTTCAATGCTAATGTTTTCAATGAAACTGTAATATCCAGGGGCAGAAGCAGTTCTTCCAACTCATGCCACTCAAGATCTTCAAAGTCACCATCTTCATATAACACCCTGTACCAACCTGATTTCTTATCGAACTCAAACACTTTACCATTATAGAACTGCCCTCCGAACAATTTCCGAATTTCTCTTCCTTCCAACCATTCACCAAAACCTCTGTATTTGTGTGATTCTGTACCATTGGCAATACCACAGGGGACAAGAGTGCTATCACTTGAAGACATGGGAGGCAACCCATTAATAACAATAGCAGGTTCTCCAAGCAACTCAGACACTCCAGTCATAGAAGACTCTATGTCATCCTCTTCGCAAGTCTTCTCCATTTCTTATTTATTTCTCATTGAACTAGCAAAAAGAATTTAAGAACGCCGACAAGAGATAATTTAGTGATATGTAGATATGGATAGCTTACAGTGTACTATTCAATGTGATCAATAACATTTAAATCAATGAAGTTGGCCAGTACATGTGATCTTATCACCAAAAAAATGAAAAAACAATAATCCCACGTGCATCTATTAAGCTTCTAAGTGTAACATACGAAATTCAACATGTGACCATTAATAAATGGCACCAAACTCTCCCTTTGCAATAGAAATGTAAACAGACATCCAGATTCAACTTAACGAATATAGTAATTTTTATCTATACAAACTATGAGAAACCAATTTAGTGATATGTAGATATGGATAGCTTACAGTGTACTATTCAATGTGATCAATAACAGTTAAATCAATGAAGTTGGCCAGTACATGTGATCTTATCACCAAAAAAATGAAAAAACAATAATCCCACGTGCATCTGTTAAGCTTCTAAGTGTAACATACGAAATTCAACATGTGACCATTAATAAATGGCACCAAACTCTCCCTTTGCAATAGAAATGTAAACAGACATCCAGATTCAACTTAACGAATATAGTAATTTTTATCTATACAAACCATGAGAAACCTTTCTATTTATCGCCTCAAACATGTACGAGTAATTTATGCTCCACACTTATACGAACTAGGTATGGTTATGATAAACATTCTCAATCAATTGAAACGCAAACCCATATTAAGAAAGTCCCAATCACGGTCACCACATGCTTATTGTCATGCAATCATTGAACTAACCTAATTACCACATCATCACAAGAAATACCCTTTGCAATATCTGATTAGTATTTGGCAACATCCCACACAACGTGACCAGAATACCAAGGATGCCAATTGTGTTCCTCATCTTAGATACACTACAATTTCCAACCAAGTAAAGTTTGACATGAAGTAATAGATTTAAAGTGTCAAAACAACTCCAAGTCAAATTCAAACCGGAAAGCCTCTAGGTGATGGATAAATGATTTCATGTACACAACGTTATGATTTGATGGGCTTCCACACTGTGTGAAGGCTGCAATGGTCACGCGAGCCGGGCTCCACATAGGGTTCCCTACCCTTTTTAATAACCAAAAAAATATAAATATTATTATGAATGATTGATATATACTAATGTTTAGGCACCATGCATTTTTAGGGTAGAAACATCATATGTCTAGTCCTTAACCTTTTTCAATAAGAAACAAAATTTTTTTGATAAAAAAGGAAATTACAAAATCCTAGACTTGCATAAAGTTTGGACAAGCAGTCCAAACTAAACCAAGCCTACGAAAACAAAACAAACAAATTACAATCCGCACGAAGCTTCCAACTTGTCTAGTCCTTAACCTTGATTGCCAAGCTCCCCAAAACTAACTCTCATAAGTAAATTCATGTGTGCAGGGGGAAAATTTTATTTTGTCTCCCAAAAATCCAATGTTTGACTAACTGCCTATTGCTGTAAGTCCACAATTTCACTTATGGCTCTAATCTAAAATTCTAACTAACCCCCAATTGAATAACATGCAAGGATCTTATTGGTGTTTACCATCTGATGCTTTAGTTAATGAACTATCACAAAGAACAAACACCATCTAAAAAGGACAATATCATAAATTCAACCCACCAAATTGGCAATTACATATCTCACTTACGCAGTGCCAATGATCCCTAAAAGGTACCAAGGCTAACATTATGTAGAGACTAGAGCCTAGAGGGCACATACATGGTGTTTGTTCTGTGTAGTATACAGAATCGTAGATGCCTGCCTTATATAAACTTATGTACTTAACTACATATCCATATCTATCACTGATTCACAGTAAACCATTTTCTTTCAGGTCACAACAAAAACCATAACTTTAGTAGTAGCATATGTCCGAAAATCAAGAGATTATTAGACTAAGGTGGTGTTTGATAAAACTAAAAGCTGAACACTGAAAACTGAATGCTGAATTTTCAGTGCTCGTTTTGTATCAACTGAAATTTAAGTATTGAGTTTAATCAAATTGTTTGACAAATATAAGGAACTGAAGTCTGAAAATTATTATTATTCTATTTTTGCCCTTCTCTTTAACCATCTCTCCACAACTGCCTTATTCCTATCACCACCATCACAATGGTGGTGGTAGTGATGATGGTGACGATGGTGGTAGAGGCAGCAACACAATGGTGGTGGTGGCGGTGGCGGCGACAGTGGTAGTAGTGGTCGCAGCGGCACAGTGGTGGTGGTGGCTGTGACATAGTGGTAATGGTGGTGATGGCAACACAGTAGTTGTGACGGTGGTGGTGGTGGCGACAATGGTAACAACAATGGTGGTGGTAACAACAATGGTGGTAGTGGTGGTGGCGACACAAATTTTAGTGGCGATGGTGACGATAGTGGTGGTGGCGGCGAAGACGATAGCGGTGGTGGTGATAGCAGGGACACAATGGTAGTGGTATTGGTGATGAAAATGATGGCAGCAATGGTGGTGGCGATGGCACAATGGTAGTGGTGGTGACAGCGATGGTGGTGGTGATAGTGGCACAATGGTGTTGGTTGTGATGGTGATAATGTTGGTGTTGGTGACAATGACATAATAGTGGTGAAGATATATTTGTCCATTATAAGAAATTGATAAAATTTTTACTAACTAACATTCTTAACATTAAGTGATAAATAGGTGACTTGCTCATAGTTGTCAAATCGCAATTCGTATCGTAAATCGGAATCCTAAACTTGAGAATTGCAAATCGTATCGAATCGTGAATCGTAAGATACGACATAAAATTTGAACAAAAATAAAAAATAATACTACATGTTTAAAATAGATAAAATATTGAATATTTAGTATTATTGCATTTTAAAAATAATCAATTGACATAATCACGTCGTCTAAATAGAAAAACGTTAGTCTTTTATTTCATTTTTAGTTTTTGTTTAACCATTTTTTAATTCAACAACTTGAAAAAAAAAATTCTTTAAAGAACTATGCCTATTCAACAACCAAAATAGTGATACTTAGTATAAATTACATTACAAATATGAATGAAAAAAGAACAAATAAAAAAATTAATTAGGAGAAAATATGCAGATCACTATTTTGAGAAAAAAATTAAAACATAATAAACTACCCATAAAAGAATTGAGAACAAAAATTAATCAATGATGCGAGAACGTTAGTAGTGACCTTTACCTTTAGACAATGCAAGATGAACTTTATATGATGTCAGAGAGAAAAAAGAGCAAAGAGATTGAGTTTTTATGACGGCATGAATTCCTTTGCAAACAAAATGACCTCGTTTTACTATTTAATGGATAAAACGACGTTGTTTTGCCAAAAATTTGGGTTTTTAAAAAAATAATTGAATCGTGCAATTCATGCGATACGAATCGAATCGTATTATTCAAGTGCGATTCAACTCTAACATAATTCTCATGTAAGATACGCATCATTTTATACCTATATTGAACTGATTTGTACGAATCAAATAGTAAATCGTACGATTTTGATAACTATAGGTTTGCAGCTTAAAATTTTAGCCTATTTTTAAGAAATAATTAAAATATTAAGTAGTATGAGTTTTAGGTTATTAAACGGGGTTTAATTTATTTAATACTTAAAATATTCAGTTTTAAGTCTTAACTGTGTTATCAAACGGCCCCTAACTCATGCTATTAGGGCTGGTAATCGAGCTGTTTGCAAGCCTAAATCAAGTTGAATTTACACATAAACGAGCTGGCTCGTTTGACTATTTACACATAAACGAGCTTTAAAAAATATTCAAGCTTGGCTTGAGTACCAACCCTAACAGCTATTATGATAAATTATACCGTTGTAGATTTGCTCCTTCATAATGAAAAGATTCCCCAATTCTTTCCCACTTTACCGACAAACTATGCATATAACTCATATCCCTAACCTCAGTGGTAGACAAGTAGTGAAATTGGTGATTGCTAATTTACCTCAAACGCTTATGTTGAATTATAATTTTGGCGATTAGATATTTATCACTAAACAGATTCCCGTAACCTTTGCGCTATCTACTTATTTACGGGTAACTTTTTCATGTTTACATTGTCTTCCCAAATTAATACATAAATAAATACCAGCTGCAGTTTTACATATTTCTCAGAGCTTGGAGAATACACATTGTCGATTCAAACAAAAAAAATAAAAAATATTTATATATATATATATATATTGGGAGGAGGAGATGGATTTTTTAACATCTAAGAAAGAAAAAATCTCAGTACAATAACAGGAACAAACAGATCCATAGGAAAATGTTGCAGAGCAAGAGAACACTAAAAAAAAGGTATAATTTCAACAACTCCATACAATCCAAGCATATGAAAGATAAACACGAAATTTAATAGGAGAAATTAGACAAAAATCACAAAAATTTACTGAGGAAACAAAGGGGAGAAACTTAATAAATACGCACCTGATATCACTCAACTGCCATTTGAAGGTTTAATTGAGCGATTAATGATAATAACGAACCCTAGCTTGAATCTTTGAGAGAAAAACTGAAGACTGAACAATAACTGAGGTCTGAATTCAAGATTTTCTAAACCCTAGCTGTCGCTTTTTTCTTGGATCGATTTAGCTATCTCTTGAATGCGAATCGCGGGAAAAGGCTTGAAGAGGAGAGAAAGGAGTTGATTAGTTGACGAAGGGGGTTTATCTTGCCAAGGCAATTTGTCATGGGGGCAAGGATATTCCATACCGACGTCGTATCGGTGAGTAAATATTGGGCGTAACAATTACACCAAGTCAACATTGTTACGTAGTGTAATTGTTAAATAATAAATAAATAAATGGTCAAATAAACCCCATTTTTTTAAAATACTTTTTTTTTTGTGGGAGAAGGGGGGAAGAGAATTTAAACCCTTAATTTCAAGAAAACAAAATTTTTATAAGATAAAAAGTATCATTGGACCAAAGTCTTTTTAAAATACTAGTAATACACAACGT